TTTTCTCCCATTTCCCTATTTCTGAGACCAAAGTTACGACTCTGAAACAGGTAATACTCATATCTCATACGAACATTTATCTAATTATAATATTTCTCGTTTGTTTTAGAATTTTTGAGCAAAACTACAGAATGGGCTACCTGATAGATTAGATGGAATGCAGCTAGTCAAAAGCACCCATACCAATTCTTGGGCTACTCTTATCGGACTGAATAGTGGGTACCGTCACTCTTTATAGCGCAACCACAGACACAAAGAGCATAACGAGATTTTTTTTTGCGGCAACGGGACGCGAAACCATGAATCATCGATTTCACAGTCCAAGAACGCCAACAGCTAAGCCACGTCTGGCTCTGTAATATTTCTTATGGCTTAACCTGTGGCTTAAGTTATACATATGTTTTTGTTTCGCTAAAGGTCTAGAACAATACCAGAACCATATTTCGTAAGAGTTTTGTTGAATTTATCAGAAAAACAAGATTTTCAAAAATCGCTCAATATTTTATAGATACTGAAAAATTGTGAAACATCTATACCTTTCACAGATCTGCCACCAAAGAAAGCGATTCATATATATATATATATATATATATATGCATAAATACATACGTTTCATTTATTTAAAATTCTAGCAGAAGGGTCAGTTTGATTTGTTTTTGAATTATACTCAAAGCTACACGAGGGTTATCTGCGCTAGCCTTACCTAATTTAGTAGTTTAAGACTAGAGGAAAGGCAGCTAGTCATCACCACCCACCGCCAACTCTTGGGCTACTCTTTTACCAACGCTAACCACCTGGCCATGCCGGGCCCAGAACGGTCAGTTACGTTTTTTGTGCTGTGAACATTACATTCTACTGGGACAATTCCAGTAAATATATATTTTGTTTTTTATCATCCTGTCATAATGATCCCTGAATAGATGCTTATTTGGAACGTTACAAAATAATTGTTGTTCACTTTGAAAATTAAATTTTGTCCGAACAATCATAACAGATGTTTCTTGTCAGAGTACAGCATGATGTGATCCTTGTCTTGAACACTATATCTTGTAGTGTGATCCATGGAATATTGATACTTGCTCCAATCAACATATTTTTGTCTCAAAACGACCTCTAAAGAGATTGATGTTTTGAAAATTGCATTCTAATAAATTATCTCTAAACAAAACTTTACTTCGAACATTGCATCCCTTCAGGATGATCTCAACGATTCTTATTATGGAGGGCAGAATATCATCACAGAATGATCCACAAGTAAATACTTATCGTGGTCTGATTTTTCGCTAATAACACTCTTTAAAGATATTTTGTATTTCGACTAATAAGTCCTGTTTTGGTACTTACATCATAATCCATAAGAGCTATTTCTGAAGACGTTTTCCTTCGAACATTTCATCTTCTTAGTTCGATATCTAAAGAAATTCGTGGTATTTCCAGAATAATCCCTGAAGAAACACTCTACTTGGTGTTGTTATTAATTCAACATCATATTATAAAGTATTTTTCCGTTGGCCATTTACTTTTTCCAGATCAATTCTTATAGAGATCCCTGCTTATGGACAGGATATTTCTGATAAATTTTTCTTAATTACAATATCCTTTGCTAGGAACAAATTAGATTTATCAGATAGACCCTTGTTATAAACAGATGAACTTCCCAGACAAATACCATTCACAGCAATAATTAATATATTTATAACGCTTTTCGTAACATAAAAAGAAATATATAAACAGCATATTTTTGTTCGACTATATCAGAAGAAGCTACACATACAGAGAGACCATAGCATCTGTTTCATTCATTTCCTATTAAGAGGCATTCGGCTTTTACAAAATTAGGAGATGCGTTTGTATTAATTAATGTGCGTTATATAATGTAACAACCTCTTTATTTTTTGTTTTTGTTTTTTTTTGCTTGATAAACTTATAATATAAGACAAGTAATTATGGCAACATAAAAGTGCTACATATACAGGTGCCATAAAAACCAATAATGACAACTCGATGGTGAATTTATGGTTAAAAAGCATTATCACAGACAACACAAAAGAAAAATGACTACGCTTTACGATGAACTGGTTTTTTATATGCGTGCCCTTTGATCTACACAGGGCAGAGTACATTGAGTTCATGCTGACACATACATGTAGTTCCAAATTTTTCAGATTTACATAAGCCCGTACAGCTTCAAGACTTTTTATACCGGGACTTGTACGAGCCAGCCTCGTGGATATGAGTGTTCCATCAGCCTCTTTACAGTTTAAGTATCGTTTCACTGCATTCGTTGTACACTTGGAATCATTCTGTTCTTGGAAGAGAAATTCCCACTCGATGGATCGGATTCATGAAAGGAGGTACAAGGTGCTGTGTTTGTTCCTCTCAGCAGTCGGGGTGGGCCCCAAACTTGTAGAGATTCTCTACCACGCCTCATTGTAGATGTTGTACATTTCCGTTGTCGAACAAACTGTCGTTTGTTATTGCTGAGTAATTTGAAAATGTATTCATGTTTAAATAACACGTGTCATCTGTTTATTCATTCCACTGTGTGTGGTCCGATTGTAATTTTGACCTTTAGGTTTGGTTACTTCTTAGCAGTAGTTTTCGAGCAATTTCACACCCTTTAAGAACACTAGGTGTTAACGCGTATCTTACTGTTCTCATGATAGCGTTCACTCTTGTATTTACATCAAGATTGTTAGAAATATTTGTATTCGATTTCCTAAGGAACATACTAAACGTCACATCTGGAAGACTTTAGTTTTCTACCTCGACTACTTCTATTATTAACAGTGCCACTTTCACTTACTCTCTTCAGAATCTTGCATAAAACTCCTATTGTCGCAGTTTTTCACGTACGTTACACAGGTTAATGAATTTAAACTTCATAAAAGTTGTTTTGGTTTTAATAACGGATTTTCCATAATTAAGCTATGGAGATTTCGAAAATAATGTTCACTGTATTCTATCACTTAAGGTTTTCTTTTACAAATCGGGAAGAAAAAACTCTTACTTAGATCAAATTTACAAAAAATTTACCACAAATATAACAGAATGTGAGTGGGTCATTTACACAACCTCTTGTTGTCATAGCGACGAATAAATAATATTGTTAACCGTTTATATACCAGCGGTGTGTTTCTCGTGTGTTCTAGAACGATCGATAAGACTCTCATGTCGCGATTGGTCTATAGAAATCTATAGCCATTGGTTGTCAACATTTTAAGCATAACAAAATTTGATCCGATTTCAATGAAAATGATACACTACTTATGTATAAGTACATATGACGTTTTGTGACAAATCTGTACGTGATGGAGAAAAATGGATATCATTTTGGATTCAGCGTACAGGAAATAATGTAGAACATGTAAAACCATCGCAGGCCTATGAATTTCACTTGCTTGTTTTGCGGTATTTCCGTTTTTGAGTCTTAGCTGGACTCATCCCGGCATGGCCAAGTGGTTAGGGCACTCGGCTCGCAATCTGTGGGTCGCGGGTTCAAATCCCCGTCACACCAAACACCTTTCAGTCGTTGGGGCGTTATAATGTGACGATCAATGCCACTATTCGTTGGTAAAAGAGTAGCCGAAGCGTTGGCGGTGGATGGTGATGACTAACTGCCTTCCCTCTGGTCTTACACTGCTAAATTATGGACGGCTAGCGCAGATAGTCCTCGTGTAGCTTTGCGCGAGATTCATAACAAACAACAAACTTAGCTGGAATCACACTACTACTAGTGGGTGTTATGTCCCTTAGGGGTTTTTCGAAAAGAAGAGTGATAAGCTCTGTTATTGAGCGAAACACGTCGACGTATATGATGGATATAATGCATTTGAAATATTAGTATACACTTTTATTCTCGAAAAAAGCCAGAGGAACTTAATAAAGAATATACTGTTTAAATATGTAATAAGCCTAATACTAAAGTCTTATAAGAAATATAATTGATTATATACGTGTTTCACCAGTTTAAACAAAAAAGCGTTTACACCATAACAGTTGCTAATTTTAAGCTGATCTGTTTCGTATAAAATCACATAATTTGTTTTTACCATCCAAAACTGCGACGAGCTTACAATAACATGGTGAAAATGAAACCACATATCCCAACTCCAGTTAACATAGACACATTTTATTATTATACATTTATATCGTCATCTACTATTATCTTACTCCTAGACATCTCTGGTTAACACATATTCATGTCACCAGAGACTTCTGGATATGAAAAAGTTTATGTCATTTGACACTTACCAAATATTAATCTCACTTCTTGTAACCAAACGAATGTCATTAGAAACTCCAATTTACCAAACACTCATGTCACCAGACACTTCTCGTTACCAAGCATATATGTGTTCTGAACCTATTTTACAATCCATGCATGTCACGTGACGTTTTGTTCTTACGTAAATTGTTACCATTAGACACTTCTGGATACCAAACAATGATGGCACTGGAGCTTCTTGCCATTCAAGTCCCCAAAGACTCGTCAATACTAGACATTTTTGGCTAAACGGCATTTATGCCACCAATCAATTTTAATTACCAAATATTTTTGTCATGAAATTTCTAAACATTAAAATTGAAGTTCCTATTGTCAGTTCATACTCTCGTTTTTAATCATCTAAAGCCCATGTCACCAGACACGTTTAGGTACTGAACGTTTCCATCACATGACTGTTTTCATGACTAAACGATTATGTCATCAGAAACTTCTAGGTACATATGATTTGAATTTTATATGCTTAACGTTTAGGATACTTTTTCATAACAATTAATGAAATGGAGAGTCTGGATTTCTGCATTTCAGGGTAATATCGGGCAACATATCGATGCAGCTTATAATTAAGCTCGATTTAGACCTACTGCGTTTCAATACAATTAGACCTATGCAGTGGACCCATTAGGTTTGGACATACATAAAAATAATTAATTTAATTTTCACCAATTTTATTCTCTGATACTGCTACTTATTAATTCTAACTTATTTTTTACAGCTGACTGGTGAGAATGAATCCGGTCAGATTTGGCCCAAGTACTACCAGTAATGCGACATCCACCACTCAGTCAAGTCAATGCCATCCAGCTCAGACCACAGAGGTAACAGCTCTCTTCGTCATTGCCCTGCTAGGCGTTGGAACGAACGCCTTCTTAATGATGCTCATAATTTTAAAACGACCACTAAGGAGGTAAGGCTTTAATTAAAACATTTTAAATGTACACAAACAGCCAAGTTTAAATAAAGGGATCAGTCATATAAAGATGTGTAATAAAAAAAAAGTGTATAAGTTAAAAAAGAAAAAAATTGGAGAAAATTGGTCTTTTTATTCATGTTGCTATTTGTTCAAGTTGCAATACAAATGGGCCTAAATATTTCTCATTTTTTTCTTAGCCACTTTCACATTACGCCTTTACATGGTTTGTCCTATTATATAATTTGTTTTTGTTTATAACACATCTTTATATGACTGATCCCTTTATTTTAAGTTGGTTGTTTTTGTACATGTAAAATTTTTTGATCAGATATCACAACTTTTGGTTTTGATTATTTTAAAATTGATTTAAAATAACATTCCATCCGGAGTGAAGTTCGAACTCCAGATGCCAGGGATATCAATACAGATGCATCTTCTTAGACGATTACGCCATTTCCTGATTCCGCCTGTCTCAAAGCCTTTCAGTCATCAGTTTTAACTTAGAACAGTGGTGATAAATTTAGTACTAGAATTTAAATATATATATATATATTCATAAAAATACTAGTAATGTGCTAGATTTGTCAACAATCCATAGTACAAAGTAATGTCTACCATTGTAATTTAGTTTCGTTTGTTTGTTTGTGAATTTCGCGCATAACTACTCGAGAGCAACCTGCGCTGTCCGTCCCTAATTTTGAAGTGATAGACTAGAGGGATGCCAGTTAGTCAATAACGTCCAGTGCCAACTCTTGGACTACTCTTTACCAACGAGTAGTGGGACTGAACATCACTATAACGTCCCTTCAGTTGAAAGGGCGAGGATGTTTGATGATGTAATTCGAATTCGCGACCCACAGATTGCGAGTCGAGTGCCCTAACCACCGGGCCATTTTATTTCATGCCGGCCTTTCTTTGTTTACTATATGATTTACCTCTTCAACAAGAAAAAGAACAACAATAATTTCACCAATTTGTGACTGATTGCCTTAATCCAAAACAGATATAAAGCTGCTATTTTTAGTGTGATGTAATAGTATTTAGATATGTTCTAACTTGATTCCAATCACTACCATGCTTCTAGGTTTTTGAAATATAATACATTTGTATGTGTGTGCATGTGTGGTGTTAAACCTCTGCGTTTACAAATTTTAAGTTTTTAGATGAAATTATATTCAACCACCGGAAGTGATCCATCTGTCTTCAGGACTGTACTGTGCATCTTATGTTTTAAAAAAAACTGTGAAATATTGTGGTTTGGAATTTTAGTTGAATATATCTGAATATCTAAGTTCATATTCATAAAATTTGGGACGGTGTTTGTTTTGTTTGTTTGTTATGCACAAAGCTACACAAGGGCTATCTGTGCTCTGCCCACCACGAGTATCGAAACCGGTTTCTAGCGTTGTAAGTCCGCAGACATACCGCTGTGCCACTGGGGGGCGGACGGTGTTAATGAATGCGCTACAGTTTGCATTAAGTTCACGGTTGTAACAGCTAGCGTAACTCTATACTAAATTCTGGACAAACATTCCATAGAAAATTAAAATAATATGGGTAACCGACCAGTTTATTTAAGGATTTTACTGTTAAGAGCAAAGTTACATCAATGAAGTACACTCGAACTTGATAAACACCTCTATCAATTTATTTTTTATATTGCATCGTGTATAAAATATCAGATATAAAAGTATGTGCTTCATGGAATTAACAATTTAAACATTTATATTTTCAAAACATTTCTATATTTATTTGTTTTTAAGCACCGAGGAGCTTAATACAACTTATAGTAAATTTTCAATAATATAATTTGGGACCACTGAAAAATAATTGATTTATATATCTAGTGATTCGTTTGGTGGCATTACAAAATCACAGAACAAAATGTTGGGCTGCAGATAACATTTTACCCTAGAGTCAAATGTTTCATAAATTCAAGTAATCATTATCATTGAATCATATTTGAACTGACAGAAATGTTTTAAGAGTAAATAATGAAAGTGTTTTACATAGTTCTGAATTGATTTAATTTATTGCAGGTGGTCCCAGGGACTGTTGTTCCATCAAGGTTTGGTGGACTGTGTCCGAGCAAGTCTTCTGGTCCCTTTAGCTGTAAGTGTGATGATGTGCCAAAACTTGTCCAAGTGTTCGGTGCTAGAAACAATCTTCTTACTACTTGTCACTGTGTCCACAGTCAATCTTCTCACGTCTGTCATCAATGATGCACCCTTGGTTCCAGAAATAAGTCAGCCTTCATTGCAGACTCGCCAAAATCGTGCTGAATCGCGTGGAATACCTTTGGACAGCCGTCAGTGTGTAGCTTTTGGGTTCTTCATTATCTGGTTTGCCAGTATTACAATTAATCTAGGCCCTACGTTTCTCAGTGGCGCCCTTTCTGGAGCTCGAGAATCAGTACAAGGAAAAGCTTGTCCTATGGTATATGGACCAGTTCGTCACTATGTCCTGAACGTTTTATGGGTATCGGTCAATATGCTTTGTGTCCTACTCACTGCTGTTCACCTACGGAAGTTGCATCGAGACTTAACTAAATCAAATCTAGAGGCCATTAGAGTAGCTGGTCTGGTAACCACTTTGATCTCGGTGCGGTCAGAGCGCGACATGGGGGAACACCAACACATACACAACTATATACACAGGTTGGAAAGGGAAGGACTTCACCGTGTAAAGATGTTTGTTGTTCTCCTCGTGGCTTACGTCATCTTTTGGGGTCCTCTTTTTACCATCACACTCGCTCAGCCCAGATTGGAAACGGCCTCTTTGACCTACCAAGTCAGCCTGCATGTGGCATTTGTGCACGCTTTTGTTAACCCAACATTGCTGTTGTTATTAAACAGAGAACTACGGAAGGCGGCCTCAGATATGCTATGCTGTCGTTGTTGTCTATTCCCTGAGGATAATATTCCACCTTACGAAACAGCTTCTTCCTTACGCCTAAACCATGGATACATGTAAGTTGGTGGTGTCTCAGTAAACAGAATTGAACGTAGTAGACCATATGTAAAGTTAGTTCTCATTAGATTTATATCTGTTTGTTGTTTACCACAACGTTACACAATGGTCTATCTGTGCTCTGCCCACACAGGTATCAAAACCCGAATTTTAGCGTTATAAGGCTATAGACTTAGCGCTGAGCTACGTTTATAGGTGAAGTTACAACGGGTACGAACAAGATATGTTGTACTGGAATAAAATAAACATAAATTATTTTAGTACTAAAATGTAAAAAGCCATTCGTAGTAAGGGTTGTTAGCAAAAAGTTTTATTATTTAAATTATTTCCGTATTTGTTTGTTAGCTAGACAACAGGTATATGTAAATTGAACTGGTACCAAGTAAGCATGGTTGTTAGATTACATTATACGTATGTAAGTTAATGCTTTATTAGGAATAAGGACCAGATGATAATTATATAGTAAACCAAGTGTTTATACAAGTTGTGTTAATAAGTAGGATTATATGGTTGACTAGAGTTATTTATAAGTTGTTTATCTATTGATACAAAAACGTGATGATTATAGATAGGAGTAATTGTGAGTAGATTGTGGGTATAGATAATGATTGTGTTAGTGATTAGTATTAAAGCATAGTTAAACAAGGGCAAATGTTATAGTTAAAATATGTGTTGCAATTGATTGCTAATAGTAAGTTATTATTTTACTATTGGATAACATATTGATTAAAATATCTCTCGTGCTTGTCATACTTATTGTATGTTTCTGTATTGCTAAGTAGTACCAAAAAATAGCAAACAATACAAATTATTGTTTTACCTCTAAATTGCAAATGTAATATAGTATTGTATTGGTAAACAGGTTTGAAGATTAGCAAACTAAGGATATTCTATCTATAGGGTGGACTGTAGACGATCGTGCACAGATAAAATATCGTCCTATCAGTTAGCACAGATGAAGGTTGACTACCAAAATCATGCTATAAAATTGGTTGCACTACAAAATTATCTACAGGGACTAATCATTTTCGCTGTATCATGAAGCTGACATGACTGCTTATAAATTCTCTTCCCTAAACGAACCAATGATATTACTTCATGATGTTTACTGCGATAACAGACCGAGAGTATTATTTATGTATTTATTTTCACTACAATATAAGGCTGAAAGCAGCAATTACGTACCTTTTTCCATTTTAATTTAAGATGGCGATAGCAAGAACTCTGGGAAAGTTTGTTCGTTTATAGTTAAGCGTAAAGCTACACGTTGGGCTATCTTTGCCGTGCCCACCACGGCTATCGAAACCTAATTTCTATCATCTTAAGTCCGCAGACTTGCCGCTGTGCCATTTGGGGGCAAAATGGAAACGGCTATTAACTTAATACGTTTCACCAAATATGGAAAATCAATTGGCCAATCACTTAAGTGAGACTGCGACTGCGTGTAAGTTTCTTCACTGAAACATAGGGTTGAAAGAACCAAACATTTAACGCCTGTTTCTACAATAAGAGGTTGAGAAGATCGTCATTGAACTTTATCACTACAATATTAATAAGTTGAATGTTTTTCAGAAGATAATGAGTGGGATAATTTTGCTTGGTTACTGTCACAACAACTGATTAAAACCTATTGCAAAATCCAAAAACATTAAAAATAAGTTAAATTCTTGATAAAACTCTATGATGTTCTATAGTGTAAATAGGAATGCACTACTTTTCCATTTGCAATACAAAACACAGATAGCTCATTATGTAGCTTTGCGCTTAGCAACACCAAACCCAATTTAATGTTATAATTATATTTCAGAGATTTAAAAAGAGTTGAAACAACTGTATCAGCTGTATCAGCTTCTATATTTATTAGGTCGTCAAGAAATT